GCGGACAAGACCGAGCAGGTTGATGCATGCTCGGGTTTTTGCGCGGACAAGACTGGGCTTATAACGTTTAAGGTGCTAAGACCGATCACTTTATGTCGACCAGTTATGAAGCTAACAAGTAACCTAGCTATTCATACTTAGCAATATTTTGGTTAAAAGGATGTTCAAATTTCGCGTGTGGATATTGATGTACAAGCTAGCGAGTTATCAGTACTTAAACATTATTTCAATTGAATAAGTTGTGATTTGTGGAACCTGGGAGTGGCCGAGCTATTAACAAAGCCGAGCCACTTACAGATTACATGCATGGGATGAAAAATAAGGCAAGATATTTATACTTGGTAAACATGCCAAATCCAAGTTTGAGATAGAAAGAGAAGAATAGTAAAAACATTTGGTAAACATGCCAAATCCAAGTTTGAGATAGAAAGAGAAGAATAGCAAAAACATACGGTCATTACAGGTAATGTTCAAAACAAGCGACCTAATAACACTCGAGCATACAGGTGTCTGCTCCAAAATACGAGTACAGTTAGTGCGAGCTATTGTCGCAACATAAAAATCGAAAATAAAAACAAAGGGGTTTCACAGGGAACTGTCGGATGAAAATAGATTTAAGTGTTGCGATACAACCTTGGGTGTGGAAATCAAAGTGGCCAAATGATAGCAATAAAATAGTAAGAAGTTGCAACGGGTACAACATTCTAGGTGTCCTCTCAATTCACAGCTCAGCGGGATAAGAGGAGCTCGGTAATTCAGTGTTCCTAAATCGGTGTAGTAGAGGAGCCACTATAAGTGTTCGGCAACTTGGAAATTTCAATCACAGCTCGACAGACTGAATCAGCTCGGCGGAATAGCGATGATAGGAGCTCGGCAATTCGGAAAATTTCGGTGTTAGTTCGGCAATTTGAATTTTCAGAGGGAAAATCACAGCAGGAGCTCGGCACTTTGGGTGTCTCCAACACAGCTTGCCAATTCCCTTTTGTTATTTTTCAATGTTGCTCGGGTAGAATATCATGAGAAGTTTCGACAACAACATTTTATTGTTAATACTATCAAACAAAACTATTCAGTTTAAAGGACAATAGTTTGTTTGATAATAGGGAGCTAGATGATAGTATAGCACAAGAGAATAGCAGGTGGACCGGATGAGGAATTAGCTCCGTCGGAGAGCTAATTAAGTTGGATGTAAGTTGGTCCAGTAGATGTTTTAGTAGCTCGGCTAAGGGTAATGGCTCGGCTTGTTACACTGACTGCTCGGTCTTGTGGTAATTGCTCGGTCTTATAGCAAACAGCTCGGCATTATAACCATGTTAGTAGCTCGGCTTTACATGTGCCCGGTTTCAATAAAATGAAATTTAATAGTTTTTATTTTTTTATCTTTTTGGTAATAAGTGTTAACACATTACTCAAAAAAAGAAGCCTTAACAATCTATTAATAGTAAGAACCCGAGCTTCATTTGGCCCATGTCTCAAGACAGACTAGAGGAGCTTACAAACTCTTCTCAAAGTCTCTTTATCTATAGGCAGGCTTTGGCAAAAGCCCATTACTAATTTTGCTTAAATGGCCCAGCAAATCTTACATATATGTTCATTTTTGCAACAAACTCTTTTGAAATGTATAGAATTCACGCTATCCATGGTTCAAGGCCTTACATATCCTACATATAAATATTACAAAATTTTAGCATAGATTTTGGAAGGTGAAACGACTCCATATACTGAATTGCTAAAATACCCTCTTATGTATAATAATTATAATATTTTAGTATATGTATTTTACTTAAAATAGGAGTTGAACTCAAGTCGAGCTCGAACAATCTTTTGAGCATTTTGATTTCAATCGACTCGAGCTGAGCTCGAGCGATTGCCTTTTTTTGTCGAGCCGACCTCGTCATAAATCTCTTGAGCTTGAGCTCGAGCAGGTAGAAAAAAATAAATCAATCTTGTTCGATAAGGTCAATATTCGACTCGATTCGTTTCCCCACCTCCAAAGTCTAATAAAGGGAATATACCAACACTAAGATTAAGATATTTGAAATCGGGAGATGGAAATATTTATATACTCTTCCGTTTGAATACTTGTCTATTCTAAATTGCAACCCTATGTTATCATCCGGATCGGTAAACCTATATTAAGAGATTCCAAACGTCACATTAAGAGGAAGATGATCATTGAACCGACGTGATTTCAAACACCACCCCGGTTCAGGCGACGAACCGAACCGAACTACCGAAGACCGAAGTGGTCAGCATCTACCGAGGTCAACATAAACCGAGGTCGCCACCTCCTTAAGCAGGTGACAAGGTGCCTACGCACAACCATCCCACTCCACAAGATCCGTCATCATTCATGCGGGACCCACTGCTCCAAACCGCCCACAAAAAGCTACTTTATTCAAAAAAGTAGTACACGGATCCCAATGTATCAACCCGAAATTACTATAAATAGCGGACCCATGACATTTGTACGGGGATCTCTCTCCGAACTGAAAAAACTTTATTAAGCAACACGTAAAAGCCCATCACGGCTCTTCACCTCGGTTCACCTCGGACCGGGGCCATTGTTGAGTAAATCTTACATGCTTTACGTCCAAATCATTCAAAATTATCCACTTAATCACAAGTTACATCGTTGTTAGAAATCATATAACAACACC